ACACAAAAAAAAACAACATAAAGGATCAATAAACCAAAAGTTGTTCTCTCAAAAGACTAGTGAACTTAATAAACTTCTAATGAGAATGATGGGAAAAAAGAACATATAAATAACCAATATAAAGAACAAAACATAAAGTACCCCAGAAAACCCTACAAAGAGATAAAAAAGAATATTACATATACCTTAATGTATAGAAGCCTGAAATTTTAGATGAAATAGATAATTTCTAAAACATAACATTAAAGTTGACCCAAACAACCCTGATTAGTCCTACAATGTTTAAAGAAATTGACGTGATAGGTAAAACTTATTCCCACTAAGCAGATTTCAAGCACAGATTGCTTCACTGGTAAATTCTATCAAGAATACAAGAAAGGCTCAACCTGCCAACGATTAAAACTAGACCCCTATATTTCACTATGCACTAAACTAAAATCAAAGTGGGTCAAAGATCTAAATATTAAAATAGAAACACTAAACGTGCTAGAAGACAAGTTAGGTAGAACTCTTGAAAACACTGACACAGGAAAAGACAAGAACAAAACCTCAGTAGCATGGGAAATTAGCACAAAGAATCAACAACTGGGATCTCATCTTATCAAAAAGCTTCTTAAAAAAACAAAAACAAGGGCCAGGGATTTAGCTCAGTGGTTTGGTGGCCTGCCTTGCAAGCGCAAGTGCCCGAGTTCAATCCCAGGTACCAAAACAAAACAAAACAAAAGCTTCTGCACTAGAAAAGAATCCACCAACAGAGCTAAGAGACAACCTAGAAAAATTTTTATCAGCTATTCCTCAGACAAAAGACTATCTAGAATAAAGAACTTTTAAAAAAATCAGATTCCCCAAAATATAAAGATCCAATTTAAAAATGGGCATCTGGAATGAATAGGCATTTCTCAGACAATGAAGTAAAAGCAGCAAATAAACGTATGAAAAAACGTTCAACGTCACTGGTCATTAAAGAGATGCAGATGAAAGCAACATTAAGATTACACCTGACTCCAAAACAAATGGTTGCTATCAAGAAATTAAGTAATAACAAATGCTGGCAGGACTGTAGGGAGAAAGGAACCCTTCTCCATGGCTAGGAGTGCAGACTGGTGCAACCACTGTGGAAATCAAGATGGAGATACCTAAAAAAACTAGGACTAAAACTCCCATTTGATCCAGCTATTCCTTTGCTGGATATCTTCCCAAAAGAATCATTCCAAAGCAATATATACTCATCCATGTTTATAGCAGCACAGTTTATAACAGCTAAAGCTTGGAAACAGCCCAACTGCCCATCAGCTGGAGGCTGGATAAGGAAGGTGTGTTTTTTTTAATAAGACGAAGTACTACTTAGCCACAAAGAATGAGAAACTAGAGACATTTATCGCTAAATGGATGCACGGTGAGGCCATACTCTTAGTGAAATAAATAGGACACACATGTAAATACCAAATAGTTTCTCTGGTGTGAAAAACTAAAAGTGTAAATAAGGATCCAAATGTATAATTGATAATGTGAAATAGGGGAAGTGGGAGGGGTAGGGGAAAGGAAAAAATATGAGAAAAGGAAAAAATGGAAACAAGGTCTCTGTAATTAGGGAGGGGTGGAGGGTTTGAAGGGAGGGCACGGGAAAGGGGAAAAAATAAGAACCAAGATATATCATATAAAAGTACAAGTGCCCAGCAATGAATGTAACTGTATTGTATATCTAAAACGTACCAATAAACAAAAAATACAAAAAAGGAATAATTTAAATTCTGAAACATATTTTGAGAACAAGAATAAATGATTAACTTTTCAACCCATTATATAATATTAGCATAAGACTGATACCTGAAAGGACCCTAAAAGAATGTAGAACTATAAGGACCTCTTACTCATAAAAACAGGACAAATGCGAACAAAACATTAATCAATCTAATCTAAAATACACTCCCCCAAAATGACCCTGGTTTCTTTTTTATTAATATAATTCATATTCCCTAGTACTTATCACCACCTCAACTTCACCTAAGATCATCACGCATTAGATTCTTACAAGAAGCATACAACCTAGATTCCTTGCATGGGCAATTCACAGTAGGATACCTTCTCCTACAAAAACATAATGCTGCCACCAATCTGATAGGAAGTGGAGCTCAGGGCATTACTTTGAACCACAGGGAAGAATTGTAAATACAGATGAAAAATCTATTTCTTGTCCACCCAACCCCCTGCTACATGGACCAGTAGTGGGGAAACCAGTTTTAAATATTTAAACATACACATACTGTATGACATAGACATTCCACTCCTAAGTTTCTATCTAAAAAGTATATTTACATGCAAAGATTTGTACACAAATGATCACACCAGCTTTATCTGTACAACCTTAAAACTGTAAACATTCCAACTGTCTATCACCTTAATATGTGTATAAACAAACTGGTCTATCCACATATAGACTACTTAGTAGTCAAAGACATGCATATTGATGCACTCAATAATACAGATTAAATTCAAAATAATTAAGCATATTGAAAGAAGTCAGACAAAAGTATAGACAATGTGATTCCACTTGGGAAAAAAAAAAGATGTAAATTAATCCACAGTGACAGAAAGCAAATGAATGGTTGTCCGGAGAAGGTAATGGCAACATTGAGAGAGAAAGCTGGATCACAACAGGGCATGAGAAAAATTGGGGGTGGCAAATATATTTGTGATTCTATGGTAATGTCACAGATGTCTTTGTGCACATATATGTCAAAACTTACCAAATTGTATAAAATATGTATAATGTATGAGCTACAGTTCAATAAAACTATAGAAAGGTAAACTGAACAAATATTTTTCTATTGTTTTATACAGCCAACCTAACCCATATAAAATTTTTAAACATGGGCCGGGGATTTAGCTCAGTGGTTCGGTGGCCTGCCTTGTAAGCGCAAGGACCAGAGTTCAATCCTAAAAAAAAAAAAAAAAAAAAAAAAAAAAAAAAAAAAATTTAAACAGGTAGAATAAAAGGAGATTTTATTCCTATAGCAAATAAAATAAGCTCTGCAAAGGGAGGTTTTCAGTATAATTTTTATCTCTTTGAGTAAAATTTTCCAGGTAATTTTTTCTGCCTATCATTACTACATTCTACATTGTTAGACAAGTAACAATTATTGGTTCAGCAATCATCTCTAATAAAATTAAATGTAAATACAGAGATGTTTCTACACAAGCAGAAGAAAAATAAATATAGTATGACACTTTTAAAAATATATAGACCAATCTTAAAAGATCATACTACTTAAAATATTAAATATACTAAAAGTAGTTTTTGATTCTTCCATTGTAACAAGCTTGACAGAGACGCTTTTGACTCCCTAGACTTTCCTATTTTGTAGGCAAAAGCTTCTTGTGCTTCTCTGCTGTTTTCAGTAGAGCAAAGGCCAAAATACACTGTTTACTTCCTTATTTGTCCAACAAATCATCAACAGTGAGGTCAGCAGCAAATTGAACAACGCTGAAAGGAATGCTTATTAAATCACAGTAATCCAAGCCAGTTGAGGAAAGCCCACAGTAGTACAAAAATATGACCTGGCTCTAAGTTTCAAAACAAGTTACCAATTCCTAAATTTGGTTCCCTTCTAGAGCCCTACAGACAAGTTGAGTATCTGTAGTAGTCAAAGTAGATATGCTTTTAACAGCTTTTCTTAACCAACCAAGTATACTACTAAAGGGCAGTTTTAAAATATAATTGTCTTTAGCCTTATAATTATACAGAGATATCCATGGTTATTATTTTTAATTTCACTTAAAAAGATGTTATCAAAAATATTAATGACAAAAATGTGAAATAAAAGCAACCAACCAAAAACCATAAAATTGCCTATACCTTCCCCAGTCTATAAAATTGAAAAAAAATTTTTTACTTTTACAAAAGATATATATTCACTGCTGGCATTTTAATGGTTTGGTAAGAAACATTATATATTCTATTTGTTCATATGTCAAAATTAAATGCTATTTCAAGCATATCGATGATTTATTTGTAAGTATCGTAAAATAAGCATCAGCAACATAAACCATTTAGAGACAAATTTTTCTTTATACTTAACAAAACAGAACTGGAAATAATTCACTTTCAGTTAACTTTAAATTTATAAACTCAAAGCAGGCAGTATGACTTCTATTTTCCTTAACTGTAAAATCCCCAACACTTGTACCTAATAACAGCAGATAATAGTAACAGCAATGAGCCTACAAAATATGAAAGCAAAGCATTAGACATTTATTATTCCTTATTTCTTTTTATTAAAAAAGCATCAAATTCAATTCCACAAATTTTCTACTGAGCACCTAATCTGTTCTTTGTCAGTATGAAAGTGACTACAGAAGACTGTTTAAAAGCGGTGGGGGGGGGAATGGCAGTCTATAAACAAGAGTCCCTTTTTATTTTAAATAACAAAACATACTGGGTCTTAAGTATTCAGTGTCATCCTCCAAAGCAGTTACCTTGGGAGATGATCAGATATTTACATTTCTTCCAAAGCCACAAATAGGCCACATAAGAAAATCAGCTACTACTGGCACTCACTCTACAGAGGCTGTCTTAAACACAAATTTCTTTGCTCCTCGTAAGATTTTACTGACAGTACTACCTGAAATCCAACACCCTCTCTGCAAAACTATAGCACTGAAGACTCAATACTGGTAAATGCCAAAAACACTTGGAAACAGGTGCCCGATACTGATGGTAATATCAAAAGATTACTTCTGAATTGGCCTACTGCTAGTTAAGTAGATAGTCTCTCATGATGACAAATTTAAGCATGTGAGTTTATATTCCTTTTTTTAAGGTGCCATTATATTACGAATCTATCTTGCATGAAAGAATTCCCTAACCCAAGAAGCTAACAATATTTATAAAGTAATAAAAGAAAAAATTAGGAAAGAACATAACTGGTAAAACTCTACCTTCTTTTTGAAAAAGTTCCCTGTATATCCTTAAAATTACCCTAATAATCAAAGTTTCATACCATTTACAGCTTTCTCAATCAATTCTTCGCAAGCATCAAAATCACCCTTCAACACCAGTTTGTCGTGCAGATCTGTTAACATAGGATGCTCCAGTGCTATCTTAGTTTTCTTTTGCAGTGATTCAAAAGCCTCTGTATAGTTGTGTTGTCTGAAATGTTTTAGGCAAAGGCGAATGGCTTCCTGTTCACGGTACTACTAGAACACAAGAGAAAGCATGCAGAAAAAAAGATTTGCTTAGTTGTTACTATAGGAAAAAATAACACTAAAAATAACTAACCTAAACTCAGCACTTACTATTTGTTAAGCACTGTACTAATCTGATTATCATTATTTTTATCTTTTAAACAGCAAAACTGAACCTTGTTTCACTTAGTTGTAGTAACTTGGCCAAAGGAAATGAAACTAGACCTAACTCCAGAGTCTTTGAAAGAAGATGTAACATGCTATGTACTAATGCTCACTTAACATTGTAAAAATTTGATCTCCTACAACTTTGACTAATCAAATTACAATGCAAGTACTAAAAGCACAGAAATTAACTAATACTCATAAATTATATCATGCTTTTTGCTCTTGCTTAAAAAAAACTATTACACGAATGACAGGTATTCTAATTTTATAAGCAGGTTTTACAACTCAAAAATTATCACACAGAAATTAAATTTTATCATCTATTAAACAGTATAAATGAAGTATCTCAATTATCTAGATTCCAAAAAGTAGGCACTTAATTTATAAAACTTCTATCCTAACAGGATGAATAACCATATATAAGCTCACAAAATAATTTTTAGCTGGGCCTGGTGGTGCATGCCTATAATCCCAGCACTCAGGAGGCTGAGGCAGGAGCATCATAGTGAGTTCAAGGCTAACCTGAACTACAGTGAGACTCTATCTCAAAATAAACCACAAAAATCAGAACATTTTTCTTTTAATCAACTGTAAGAATGTTTTTGGAACACCTGAAATTTTCTAAGTATACCACTGTACAACAAGCATTAACAAAAGCACTATATGATAATTAAATGATTGTAAGCATTACCCTTTAGAAAGGAAGAAAATAAGGATTTGAAATACAAATTTGTTTATAGTTAGCTAAATTCTTGACTAATAAAAGATCATTAAATATCCACTCCTCAAACACTGTAATTATCAAGATATAACTTTATCCAATAATCAAGGAATGATTCTGTATGCATACTGATTTTACATTAATAGCTTTTTTTGGTCTCTAAAACAAGATCATTCTCTATATAAACAATATACTATAGCTATATTAGAAACTGTAACACCTGTTTATCATATTGACTCTAGGGTGTCTCAATAATAACATCTTAAAATTTCTACCAGGTAATAAGTAAACCACTAAAAGCCATGTTCAAAGTGTTTGTATCAAAATAGGTTAAAAACAAAATTCAGAGCCAAATCAGACTATAGAGCCAGACTACCTGAGTTCATATACTGGCTTGAGCACCTCACAATTGTGTGATTCTGGGCAACATATTTAACTTCTCTGTGCTCTATTTCCTCATCTGAATAATAATGAGGATAATAATTGCACAGACTCAAGAGTGATAATGATTAAATGAGTTATCAAGATTGGTTAGAAGCTGGCACAGTGTTAATGCTTAAAAATGTTAGTTGATGAATCACTGTAACTTTTATTATTAATCTCAATACTTTAAATTATTCTCGATGAAGATAAGCAATTCCTCCTTCTACAGGCATTAAACATAAGGTCATAATTTAAAAATACAACCCTACCTTGCTGTACCAGTTGAGACACGGTTGTACTACATCAGGATCATCAATTCCACTAAGTTCAACATACCAGATGCTAAAGTTAAAACTGGGTCCCCAGGACAAGAGTGGAACTTTAAAAAGGGGGAAAAAAAAATTAACATAGTGCAATAAAATCTTAGCAAACTAAATCACTATTTGAGTCTGTACGGATTTATTCAACAATGTTTTCTGAGCATCTTCTACATGCCTAGCACTATGCTAAATGCTAAGGATATAGTAGTAAAAAAGAATCATGAGGTTTCCTTAGTTTAAAAAACCCAGTAAGATAATTCAAAGTGGGGTGTGTGTGTGTGTGTGTGTGTGTGTGTGTGTGTATTCCCAAATAAACACAATGAGAATTCAGTGATTAAACAAGTCAATTTCACAAAACCTACAAGATAATTATATTATTTAAACTAGATCAAGAGCACAGAAAGGGATTTAAAGTTCAATTATTTATCAGTAATAACCTGGTATCACCAAAGAAAAAGATATAAGACTAATCTCGGCTATGAATGTATATCCAAATTAAAGGGGAAAAAAGATGAGAAAAAAAAAACTACCTTGTTTTCACTGTTACCAAATATACTTCATTCCAGGAACAGAAAGATGACTTCATAATAGAAGCTATGTTAAATTAATTTATCGACTTAATAAAATGCTAAAAGAAAGCTTTTATTTATTTATTTATTTTTGGGGGGTGTACTGGGCATTAAACCTGGGGCTTTTGCACTGAGCTATATCCCAAGACCTTTTTATTTTTTATTTTGAGACAGGGTTTCACCAAATTACAAAATTGCCTAGGCTGGGCTCAAACTTAAGATTCTCCTGTCTGAGCCTCCCACACTGCTGTACCATCAAACCCAAGTGTTCAATTAAGAGATGCTAATAATAAATTAATAAAATGTTAAGTTTAATTATGTTTTTTTTAAATCCTTAATATATAAGGAATATAAACAAAGGAAATATCCTTACCTAAATGTTTTTAAAAAGCATCACAAATTTAAAAAATAATACCTAATGAAGATATATTAAATATTTCCTCTCAAGTCAGAACAAGACAAAAAGTCCCAATATCACTACTACTCAATACTATATGAGAGGTCTTAGCCAGTGTAATAAGAAAAAAAAATCAAATTAAAAAAACTGTCACCAGGCACAGTGGTATACATCTATAATCCCAGCACTTAGGGAAACCGAGGCAGGAGGATAATAAATTCAAGTCCCTACTGGGCGACTTAGCAAGAACCTGTCTCAGAATTTAAAGGATGAAGTTCAGTGGCAGAGTGTTCAAACTCAATCCCCAGTATGAACCACACCCTAAAAAAAAAAAAGTTGCTTGAAGATTATAGCTAATTTCCAAATGAAAAGCTTTTTCGTTTGCATACAACATAAACATGTAAAACTCAATGTGTCCTATATATTTGTAACCAATTAGAAAATAAAATAGGGCCAGAGATTATTAAGCTCAGTGGTTCTGCTGCCTGCCTTGCAAGTGCAAAGTCCTGAGTTCAATCCCCAGCATTATTTAAAAAAAAAAAAAAATCACCTATATAATCGCAAAAAAGCCTGAAAGTATCTCAGTATACAGCAAAAATATGCAATATTTATAAAAGAAAATTTTTACTGAAAAATCAAATAAATGAAGTAACATTCTATCTCAATAGGAAAACAACGTTTCAAACATGTAAATTCCCTTCCTTATAAATTTAATGTAATCTTAATAAAAAATCCAGTAGTATATACCAATTTTTCTTGACATGTAACTGAACAAGCTGACCTGAAAAAGGAACACAAGAATATCCATAATAAAAATAGTAACACAAGCATATATGAAGATATAATTATTGTATTACTCTGATATTAGTCCAGAAAAGAAAAATAAATGAGTAGAACAGGGGAAAAAACTAGCCAAAAATCTCTGAAGTATCCAGAAGAATTTAACATAGAATGAACCAACTTCACATCAATAAAAATGGAACATTACAGAAGTTTTTAAAACATGATCCTGGAACTTCTGGAGATCCCCACGATACTTTCCAGCAGTTTCAGGTGATCAAACTACTCTTGGTAATAATAAATAATAATAGTATTTTAATAATACTACATTGACATCGAGGGTGCAAATGCAATGGTTAGTAAAACTGCTGACATCTTGGTAGCAAAGCTGTAACACCAAAAAATACTAGCATTCTGTTTTTCTTGGATCCAGGGATCAAACTCAGGCCCTTGCACCTGCAAGGCAGGCGGCAGAACCACTGAGCTAAATCCCTGGCCCTAGTAGTAGCATTCTTAATTCAGTACAAGTTGCGCTGTATTCCTCATCCACCATATACTTACTTATACTTTAGTAAAAAAAAGAGAGTTCATTTAAGGATATTCCTGATGATACAGTAAAATTTAACCTTATTAAATCCCTATGATTAAATACACATCTTTTTAGTATCCTCTGTGAGAAAATGATAAACACTAAAGGACTTTTACTGCACAACAAAGCCTAATGGTTATCTTAAGGAAAACAATGTGTGCAATCATTTGAGCTATGAGCTAAAATAAGTGGGTCTTTTCCTGTATAGGATTCTTATGCTTGACAGAAAAAGTGACAAATAACCTGATTATTCAGATTTGGGTATTTGTTAGACATTCAAGGAAAATTAAAGATGAAAACTAAAGGAAAAATTCAAAGGAAAACTAAAGATAGGAGCTGTTGAAAATAAAATTCAAAGGGAAAGTGGGAGATGGGTAGGGGAAAGGAAAGAAGGGAATGGAATTAACATGAGAAAATGAAAAAATGGAAACAAAGCTTTTGTAAATAGGAGGAGAAGGATTGAAGGGAAGGCAGGGGAATGAGGAAAATAAGAATCAAGATATACTATGTAAAGGTATAAATCTCCAATAATAAATGTCATAGTGTATATCTCAAATGTGCCAATAAAATTAATTTTTTGAATTTCACAACAATGATTCAGAGAAGAAATTAAAAAAAGAAAAGAAAATTCAAGTTTTTAAGACATAATCAGAATTTTGGAAAATTAGTGTCTAGAAGTTTAAGCTTAACTAGTTTCCTAAGATTTTTCTGATTCAAGATAATATTAATGAAGGTGATCTGAAAATATTATATAATGGAATGTTTCAAAGATCTGTGTAATTCAGTGAACCATTTTCTAAATGGCCAACATTATAAAAAATCACACATGGATAAAAAGATCCAGCATAGACCATGATATCTGATTGCAAATTAAAAAAGGAACTAAGACATATGGGTCAGGTACTTTTCCTACGCTGTTACTTAAAGAAGTTATGTGAATACAGACAGACATAGGCAGTAGCAACCAACCATGTGGACATATGAAGCACTATGAGAATGTTTAGATTGTTTTCAGCTTACACATGCAAACAAGAAAACTTTCCAAAAGTTTTATATCAACAAATCCTAAATTTTCAGCACTGTTTTATTCTCTCTTTTCCTCCCCACTTATCCCCCTCTCCTCCCATTTCTTTTTTTTTCTTTTAGAGATACTGAGGATTGAATGCAGAGCATTTGCACTGAGCAACATCCCAGGCCTTTTCTTTATTTTTTGAGTGTCACTAAGTCTAAGCTACTGAGGGTGGATTCAAACTTGTGATCTGCCTGCCTCAAGCTTCCAGAGTGCTGGAATTATAGGCATGCACCATGATGCCTAAACTTGTTTGTTCCTTTGTATAGCACTGACATTTAAAAGTCCACTACATCACATAGCAATAACCACCAAGTAGTATAAGTCAGAATAAAACATGATTTTAATCCCAGAGCTACAAGATTATATACATGTAACCATATACACAGTATTAGAGATTCAAGCTCAATAAAATTAAGAGAAAGGGAATCTTCCTATTATATCTATTTAAGTCTCAGCAAAATATTCATTTATTAAAACAGTTAAACAATTTTATTCCAATGAGGTTTACTCTATACACCCAGTGGTCCAATAGAAATGTTTCTACAAGAAAATTTGTTCTATTTCTTAATACATTTGAAAGAACACAGGAGAGGAAGGTAAATTACCAAGTCATCTAACAAAGGATATCTTATGTTACAAATGAACATATAATTAGTTGTTAACAACTTAATTTTAACAAAATGACAAGATGATATTCCCTCATTTCAATTTACCAGTGATTTTTTTTTCCTGGTACCGGGAATTGAACTCAGAACCTTGTATTTGAGAGGCAGGTACAATGTCACTGAGCTAAATCTCAGGCCTGACCAATGATTTTTGGTGGATTAACAACCTTAATATTGCATATTAGACATACTATATATGATCTATAAGAAATCAAAATGTAAACTGGGAGCTCTGGAAATACATTATTTATCTTCTCATAAAATGTGCCTCTGCTCCCACCTTAAATAAAAGGATAAGCAACTTCTAATAAACTGTCTATCTCAAGGGTAGGAGTTTCTACAGTTCAAAGGCCAGTCTTCCCCAAAGACCAAATGAACACAGACACAATCAAGATGCATCCTTTTTCATAAAATATGATACATACAGCACACAGATACTAGACTAAGGTTCTAGCATTGCTACTCTTAAATGAGGCCTAACTATGGTATATTCAATGTGCTTTAACAATATCACTCTTTTCTAGATGAATAAAACAGCTACTTTAAGATGCAAGTAATTTTAAGATCAGGTTCCAGAAGATCCTGAAAATTCAAGATTACCCACTCTGAAGAAGTATCTATTCCACTACGGAATTAATAAGTACACAAAATATTTAGCAAAGTAACTGGCACATACTAAGTGCTCAATAACTGCTAGCCTTTATTATCATTAGTTTTCTTAATTTTCCTTTGAACAACATTTTAAAAATGTTGCCTTCTCACTCTCATAAAAGGTATATATATCCATGTAGAACCAGGATACCTTCTAGACTTAAGAGCCAACCCAGACTTCCACACACTCTTGAGATTCAGAATACATGTCACAGCGAGTCTAAACTGAAGTCTCTCTGAAGCCCCCACAACCATTTGTGCTGCAAAGGACTCCTTTACAGAAGTTTATTGTCTCCATAACAAAAACCAAGACTCCTGCTAGAATCCTTCTAAAACTCAGTATCTCTTTCTGCTGTCTCGCTGATGTAATTTACCTGTTACCATGATATGAATGAAGTTGTAAACTCTTCCAATCACTGGTAACCAATACTCTCATCCCATGCCACTTTAGGTTTCCTTTCCTTTGATCCTATCTCTCACTGAAGTTCTCCCTCCCAAATTTTTAACTTACTTTCTGGAATCCAATCCCCCAATTAATGATGCTCCTCCTTTACTAAATTTTCCCTATCTTTCTAGGTCTTACCTGAAGCCAAGATTCTTTCTCTCCACTTCTACTCTAAGTCCTACCAAAAACAGTACTCCATAAGAGCTCTTTGCCTTGCATCATGATCCTTTTTGGCTGCTCAATAAAACCTATGACATACTACCTTTAGTTTTAAATGTATAAAGTAAAACACACAAAAGTGCAGAGTAAGTCAATTATATTAAAATAGTTATAAGATAAAAATTATTAAAATAAATTAATATTCTATTAATACATTAACAAAAGATCTAGTGGCAGGTCTATTACTTAAACAATTTCAAAGTTGTGATGAAATCTGCAACACTTATGTGAAAGAATCTGTAACTTATATTTATTTGTAGCTTCTAAATTTTGACAAGTCACAGGTACTAAACCTATTATGAGTTACTGTTCATAACTGAAGGAAATATCAAACGTTGGTGACCAGTTAGGAAATATAAAGATGCAAATTTTTCCCTCAGAAAATTCATGAAGCTACTGATTTATCACCTGAAATTCTTATATAATTCAAAATGTAATAAAGTACATACACAAATGTCTACACTGAGGAAAACAGTTTGCTTGGCACTTTTGAAATTTGAGGAAACAAAAGATGGTTACTCTCTCCAAGGATTGCACAATCATTAGGAAATAATCCTGAGGAAATAATATATATATTATATGGTAAGCAAATTTGACCTTTGGAAGTAAACAAACCTAAGTCTATATCCAATCACTACATTTGAGTACTAGTATGGTTTTAGCCTAAACACTTAACCTCAAAACTTCAGTTTCCTAACCTATAAAGTGAGTACAAAAACACCTATGTCACTGAGTGTTAGGTATTTCATAAATAGTACCTACTGTTACTGAAAGCAGTACAGTGTCATAAAGTCCAAAAAGTGGTATGCGTATACTAAATTCTGTTATCTTTGATGATGACAGGCTAGCTAACATTTAATTTCTGCCCTGTTTCTTGAACTAAAAAAGGAAAAATTTTCATCTGCTGTTAAGATACTTCATGAGGGGCCAGGGATTTTAGCTCAGTGGTGCTGCCTGCTGCCGGCCTCACAAGCACAAGGTCCTGAGTTCAATCCCTAGTACCAAAACAAGAAAAAAAGAGGAAAAAAAAAAAAAGATACTGTATGTGAAAGCCCTTACAAAACTAGCAAAAATATAAATATTAAATATTCTAAATGATTGCTGAAATGACATCATGATCCAAATTATACCTGTACATATTCTTTTTCTATAGTACCTAAAAATACATTCAAAATGAAATAATTTCCAGGCCGGGGATTTAGCTCAGTGGTTCCACCGCCTGCCTTGCACGCACAAGGACCCGAGTTTGATCCCCAGTACCCCCAAAAAACCAAACAAAATGAAATAATTTCCTTCATAAACATGATCTTAAAATTTAATAGACTACCAACTACTCCACAAATCAAACAGAATTCAAGAAAATGTCCAATATAACTACCTTCCCTATAATTAGGCAGAAAAGGTATTACCATCCTCATTTTATACAAAAGGTAACTTTAAAAAGAAATATAAAATTTACCTGAAGGAAAGCAGCCAATAATATTAATTTTAACAGAAAAATAAGAAAGTTACCTAAATATTCATATTCTGAATATCACATATAAGCATCTACAATTATTTGGAAACCCCCCTGCCACATAGTAAAACTGGGATTATTTTTCTCGTTAACAATTTGGGATCACACTTACTCTAATGTAGTTTATGCAAACAATAAGATATGTTCAATGAAAATTATAATTAGATGTTACTGCATGATTTGAAGACAGTCTGTCATTGAGTTAGTCTTGCTTCTGTTTCTTTCCTTTAGTATGAAAAACTGAAAGTTAACTATATATAGAAATCGTGTTATTTAAAGATAAATTTGTTTAAATAAATCAAGATTTTTAAACATTATTACTGTAGAATATAAATGTGAAATAACAAAAAACTTAACATAAATTCTATATATCCCAACCAGATAAATAAATATCTGTGCTAAATCATAGCACACCAAAAGAAAGCTAAAGATTACTCAAATCTTTATCAGATTGAGTTTTTTTTTTTAAATATGGTGATAAACCAAAATACTAACATATAGTCTTAAAAGTTTCACAATATCCTTAAATTAATTTCAAAGAAAATGTTGGGGAAAAGTTAGAAAGCACTCCAAGCCAGTACTAACATCTTTTAACTGGCAAGAAATATGAAACTATCTGAATATTGTGAATATCAAATGAGTAATATGTATTTTTTTGAAAACTCCAATTAATATTATGTCTGAATACCATAAAACTAACCTGAGAAGGTTGATGGTGGGAATGGAGAAATAGTTCAAAAGATACAAAGTTTAAGTTAAACAAGAGAAATAATTTCCAGAGATTTACTGTACAAAATGGTGACTATAAAAACAATGTACTGCATACCTAAAAACTGCGGAGAATAGATCTTGTAAGTTTTTAACACACACCCCCACCATGTATTTGTGTATGAGATAATAGGTATGTTAATTAGTTTGAAATAATCATGTCACAATATGCAATATACTGAAACATAGTTTTACAACATAATTATATATAATTATTATTTATTAATTACATTAATAAAGCTGGGAGAAAAAAGTGTACATATTCAATCACTCAGCAAAAGAGAGAAAAAGGGAAGAAAAAAGGCTGACGGAGAAGGGAAGAAAGAGATCCCCTGTCTATAGATTTGAAATATATGATCACAAAATTGATAAAGCTATGCAAAGGCCTTTAGGAATTTGGACAATCTAAATATTGATGAAAGGATTACCTACTAGTAAAAAATGAATAACCAACAGTTAATTTATTAAAAGAAATCAGAATATAAGTTCTTATTTACAATTATTTATCAAAACAGAAACAATAGTTACAAAAGAAAAATAATGCATTGGACATACAATTAATCTAAAACCAGTTTTCCTTCAACAGTCTTTATTAAGACCTCAGATATTCCTTTAGCCTAATATTTCAGTTGGACTATTAGTTATACAGAAGAAATCTTACAAACACAAGTGCTTTATAGGTTGTAATAAATGAATTTTTATGTAATACTGTACATGTAGATATTAATAAATAGAAAAAGCACTCTTCTTACTTCCATGAAAAAATAAAACAAAATTCATAACAAAATAATTAGAGAATAACAACAGTTAATACACTGAATATTTTTCTGGGACTTGAGTAGATGTAATATTTTTCATTATGAGTAGTATATTAGAATCTCACATATTCCTTTTGACTCAACAAAACAAATAGGCTTACCTTAATAACACATTATGACTATAAAATATATTGTAGGATTCTAAATTTTATCATTATTTTTTGTGAAATGTGACTCGTTTTAATATATTTTCAAATGTGTACTAAAGAGGGCCGGGTATTTAGCTCAGCGGTTCAGTGGCCTGCCTTGCAAGTCCAAGGACCCGAGTTCAATCCCCAGTACCCCCCCAAAAAAAGGTGTACTAAAGAGATGGAAATATTCAAATTTTCAACTTTCCTACCTTCTAAATAATAAATCTTAAAATAAAAATAACCCAAAATTTATTATTTTTAAGAATGCATTACAAATACTTTCCTAAACTAAAACACTTTCTAAATAAATACGTCTTAAAGCAGTATTTTCAAACAGTGGTTTGCAATGCATTAGGCAAAGAAATTGTACGCAAAGAAATCAGCGTAATGGGTTTGACCAATAAAAAAAATGAAATATAAAAGAACCAAAAATAAAAATACCATATATATATACTGCCTTAAGGAAATTCAAATATACTTGGTTTTAGAATGTCATGGTTTAGAGTAACTGATAGATGCATAAAACAAGGCAATTAAACCAGTTTATCTCATAAAAAGCCTAAGAAAACTTCAACTGAGAAAACACTTGGAAGAAGTTCCACTTGAAATTAATAAATTATAACATAGTTATAAATATAGTATAAAGTATATGTAATATAGTGTATCATATATGTATAGTATATCATATATTTTTGTATAAAATGCATAGCATAGACTATACACTATAGCATATATTATAGTATATATAATATATAGCACATAGTGTATATTTAATATGTAGTATGTAGTATATAGTAAATATAAATATAGAATATAGTTATAAATTAGGGGCCACAGAAATTTTTCTGTAAAAGGTCATAGTAACTTTTTGGGGTTTGTGGGCTATATGGTTTTCTTGTAACTATTTGCCTCTATGTTTGGAGCACAAAAGCAAACAATGACAATATATAAACTGGCAGTATGATAGTCTTCCTACAATATTTATTTAAAAATACAGGAGACCTGGAATACTTAGTCCAAAAACTGTATGTAGTCTGTAGGCCAATGGCATAAATAATTTGTTTCTATAAGGGCTGAAACCTTACCTATCTTAATAAATCGACAAGGGAACATCTGTTCATCAATTTTATGCTTCAAGGTGAATGTTTCTTTGTTATAATCATTTTTTAAACCACTGTGAGGAAAAAAAGAGCATCAAATTTAGTTTTATAATTTAGCAACACAGTAAAATACAGAATAATGCCATATTCAGACTTTAAATTCAAACTAACATTCATAGAATTTGAGCAAGGCAGCATAAACCAGTAGTTGAACATAGGAATATAGGCCAAAACTTGTACATTTAAATCAAATGCAACACAAATGCATTATATGAGGGCTAATGAAAAATATTCAGTTTTCACAAAAGTGTCTATAGTATACAGGAATGTATAACAGACCTTAGTATTCTTAAAATATAACTGTATGACATAAAATTTCTAAGCCATATGGGGAAATTAAAAACAAAATTCACTCTCAAATCTGACAATTCAAAGCTAAATACTAGAATTTATCAAATAATTAAATTACTTAATTCTCAGTGAGATGTCAACATTCCTTTTACAATTCAAAACTTTTCAAGGTCAGTCTTATTCTGTAGGTTTAAAATCATTAACTTTCTCTGAAACACAATTAATCCATATTACCTCTGTATTTAACCAAATAGCACTAACACAAGTATTTACAGAAGAATCATTTTCCTTTGAGGTTGCTCTATGTCCTGAAGTACTTTCGCAACTCAAAGAAAATACAGCAGTAATATTTGCTCATATAAAGTATTGTCAGTGGGCATAACGTGTCACAGATATATTCTACATCTTTATTTGTCCCTTCCATTGGTTCTCTAACTTCATTTTGAGATACAACTTAACACTCCTGATGCTGTTTTAATACTCAAATTTACTGAGCTCTTTCCAAGTGGCAGGCACTGTGCTAGATATAATCACATACTTTTTTCATTTACAAAATCTTCTTGGGTGTTTTTTTGGGGGGGTACTGGGGATCGAACTTGGGACCTTGTGTTTGCGAGGCAGGTGGCGGTACCACTGAGCTAAATCCCTGGTCCCATTTACAGAACCTTCTTGTTAGACTACTCCATCTTATAATGATTATGCCTATCAATGTTTTAAATAGGATTTATATTTTTATAGCAAGGATTTTTATCTTCCCAACCTCTGCCTTCCTATATAACAAAGAGTCTGGTTAAAGCTGAAAGTGTTAGTCACAGTTCAAAACTATGACTGAAATAGAAGGGAAAAAATGGATTCTTTATTGCTAACCACACATATCGTTTGTTTGATTTTCTTTTGTTTTTTGAGACTGGGTCTTACTGTGCAGTTCAGGCTGGCCTTGAACTTACTATGTAGCTCAGGCTGGCCTGGACCTCACGGCAATCCTCCTGTTCCAGCCTCCTGAGTACTGAGATCACAGGCATGCACCACCACGTCTGGCTGCCGCTAACAATAATAACTAGTATATGGTAGAAGCTAATTGCAAGCCACATTATTAAAATAAGAAATGAGGAGCAAGATAGGAGAAACATTCTTTACTCTCTTGCAGAAAACCCACACAGATGTATCTACAAAGAAACTAAGACTACAGATTGCTTAGAAACACTTTCTTCCCCACAAGATAACTCACCTAGACAATAGCTCTGTCATATTTTCTTCATTCATTCCACCAAAGACTTTAAATTTCTTCAAATTGCAGACATGAGTTTTCTCATATTTTCCAAACGTGATATTCTGAACTATAGCAGGCCTTTCAAGCTTTAGAATCAAGTACTAAAATAAATAAATAAATAATAAAATTGTATTTTCTATTTCAGACAAACAGACAACTTTAAAAGTAAAAGTTGTAACATTAAAAGAAGATTGATAGGGTCCAACCTGCACTGGCAGGTTTATTTTTTAAGCTAAAGAACAGTATACAACAGCTTTATAAAGCTAACAAATCATCACCATTCTTTCACACTAGTAGGGCCTAGAAGCTACATTATCCTATAGGTAGAGGAGAAAACATAAACTAGTGAGATAACTTCTAATTAAGGAATAGTACTGAATAAAAGATATAACCACACTATGAATAACCAACTAAAATATAATTAGAATGCAAAAATCGTAACTACATATTCTCATGGACTTCACTAGCTAATCAATGTTTGAAATCAGTAATAAAATTTTAAACACAATAACAATTTTACAGATTTACTACCAACTCTACCAATTTTACAAATTAAAAAACCCAGACCTACTACTCAATACAATAGGATCAGTTAGATCAGAAAAACATTATACACATTCTCTTCAATTATAGAAATCGAGGAATTTTAACACTGATTGAATACATATGAAAAAAGCTATTAAAAAAAACAATTCAGATGTTCTGTTGGAAACACTTTGTTTCAAGATAATAATGGGTAATATAGGCAGTAACAGTAAAAAAAAAAAAAAAAAGAAGAAG